GGAATTCTGGGAGTTGAAGTCCACAAGTCTTAAAGTTGCCAAGGTTGGACAGCCCTGGTTTAAGGGAATGTATAAGTTTTAAGAAAGGAAAAGTAGACCTCTGGTTATCACTCTGGGCCTACTTGGGAAGAGGGGGAATCATTCTGCTGAACAGCTAGCTCTTTTGTCAAAGCTGCTTTCTTTCTTCCAAAGGCAACTCGACTGTTTTTCTCTTGAGGAAGAAGAAGTAAACGTTTTGCTTCTCATCTAGGAAGCTTCATCAGATCTGATGGAGGGGGGAATGGAAGGAGGGGTTCTGATAGGATGAGGGAAGAGGGAATAGAAGGATTATATTTCTTTGTAATCATTTGGTGCCAGTCTCTGAGGCCTCAGTGGTCTCAACAACTCTCAGAGAGTGCTAATGACCAGATGACTGCAAAGAAATACAATCCTTCCATCCCCAGTTTCCTATCAGAACCTATCCTTCTATCTGAGCACCATTCAATCTCAATTGTCAGTACCTATCCTTCCATTCCCCTGCCATCAGAACTGATGAAGCTTCTTGAATAAGAAGTGAAACATTTTCTTCCTCCTCCTCAAGAAAAAAACAATCCAGTTGCCTTTTGAACAAAAAAATACCTCTGGGATAACCATGATCTGGGTGACTGAAAATCTCCACAGACAACAGGCTGTTTGTTGTCAGGTTTTGATGGCACCAGAGTGGGGTATGGTCAGGCCAGGCCATGGATTGCCTAATTCTGACCATGAGGTTAATATAACTTAATAAATCTTGTCTCCATCTCATGGGCCAACAACTGAGAACCTCGAAATGGCATTTTCCCAAAGCAGGTAAAGCTGGCTTCTAAGGAACCAGCATTTGAAAATATATCCTTCTACAGCCATCTTTATGTGCTAATTGGGAAAACTGCAGCATTTAATAAACAGGAAGTGTGCAGGGCATGCAAAACAGCTGTCTAAGAACTAGCATTTCAACCTCTTACTATCTATACTACATTCATTCCACTCTTTCTCAAGTGGGAAAAGGTCAAGGTGGATAAGATGTCCTCCTTAGGAGGCAGTAAGTATGCACTTGGAGAGGTCAAGGGCTATATGTGAAATATCTCCATTTAGAGCAAAGAAGTAGAATACCCAAGTAAAAACCTTAAATGTTTATCTAACATGAATGAATGCACTGTATTTGGAGGGTCTTTGGTTGCAGGAAAATCTGGTTGTGATCCCAAAACGAAATGGAAACCTGAATTTCAGTAGCGTAGGAGACTCAAACCTTGGTGATAGGTAGCTCCCTTTCCATATCTAATCAGAGGAACAACTGTCTTCCTTTCTCTCTTTGCAGTGGGCACTACCTCCAGCCGGGAGGGAATCATGTTCCTGACCGAAGTGGCCCTGGGCAAGGTACATTACATCACTCAAGATGACTCCTCATTGTGCCAGCCCCCAGTGGGTTACGATAGCGTCCAGGCTTGTGGCCATACCGAACCTGGTAAGTTTTAAAGACTTGCAGTTTAATAACTTGTAGCTCTTGCTAATCCTCTCAATGTCTTAATTTGCATTTGCTTTCATGTCTTCAGACCCTGCATGCGATAAAGAGCTTATCCTGGATGAGAAAAAAGTGCTGATACCACAAGGAAAGCCCATTGTTATGACTAAGTACCAAAACAGCCACTTCAGCCAGAGTGAGTACTTGATCTACCAGGAGAATCAATGTCGCATCCGCTATCTGGTCCAGCTTCGTTTTTGAGGCTTTTCAGGGGCTGCTTTTTCTGCTGGACTCTACCCATTTACTGGCTCTCGTCTTTCCAGCGCTGAGTGGCTATCTTAAGAACCTGCCTTGAGTTGGTCAGTTATATTCCCCAGTTCTCCATCCAGAGTTCATTCAGTAATCATGGCTTCTAGTTCTGCAGAGAAGAGTGTGATGTGACTGTCTTGTTTTGAATAGTATGGTGGCTTCCGTAAGGCAGATAAGGACTCTGTGGATGTCCAGCAAAACAAAGATGAAATCATTGCCAGACTGTTGCTATAAAAGGTATCACGACAAGGGCTAATGACTTTTGGAAATCTCTTGGATCCGAATAGTCTAAAAATAAAAAAAACTCTATTAAATTGACTTGGTGTCATCCTTCTGTATTTTCTCCTATACGGTCATGTTTAAATACTCTTGCTAAATTTCATTTGTTAATAAGATCTGGTACAAATTAAGAGCCAGGATGATGAAGCAAGCTGTTTGTGAAGAACAAGGTTGGGTTAAATCTCCTCTTCTCCAACGTTACGCTACTAGGCATATGCATTCTCTTGAACCATTTTTCCTTTTTTTGTCTTAGATGGTCCAACAGATTTAATTTGATGATATTTAGCCTACAATGTAGATCCTCTTGAGAAAAATGGCTTTACACATTACTAAAAGTTTCATTCACTCTCTTCCCTTCATATATCAGTTACGGTGGTACAGTGGTTAGAGTGCAGTACTGCAGGCTATTTCTGCTGCCTGCCGGCTGCCTGCAATTTGGCAGTTCAAATCTCACAAGGCTCAAGGCTGACTCAGAGTTCCATCCTTCCGAGTAAAAGGAGTAAAATGAGGACCCGGATTGTTGGGGGCAATATGCTGACTCTGTAAACCACTTAAGAGAGGGTTGTAAACCACGGTGAAGCGGTATATAAGTCTAAGTGCTATTGCTATATAAGTTCAGAACTTCCTGCTGCACATACTTAACAGCAGACGTGAGAATTTTTGCTAGAGCTGTCAAGAAGGGAGAGAAAAAAAAGACACCACTGAAATTAAAAGTAAGTAGAAAAGGGGGCAGGCTTTGGTACACTCCTGCATGTTCTATTCTCTCTGCAATCCCTGAATAAAGCCATCACTGTTCTTACCAATGTGTGAATGGCATGGAAAGGAGGATCATCTCCACTATTTCTGTTTAGAGTAATCACATGGAGTTTTAGTTTTATTTTAATTAGGCATTTGTGATGGTATTCTTTTTCCATTTTTTTTCCTTGCAAAATCCTCTTTAGGTTTGTTACACCGTCTTCCTCCGGAAATCTTTACTTGCAGGAATTTGAGAGAAATGGGCATTAGAGGGATGTGTGAGGACAGTGACAGATGCCTGATCCTACTTGTCAGTCAGCCTTCTGCAATGTTTTCAATTGCTGATATGTTGGGACTGCCGCTCCGAGAATTCCCAGACATCATGGCCACAATTACATTGATTGCATAGTTTGAGAGTTGAAAGTGTCAGCCTGGAATAACTATATTTTTCTTTCCAAAGTTTGTCTCTTCCTTTAAAGGGAAATACAAGAGGTAGGAGAAAAATTAGTATGGCATACACTTAACTTGAATAAGGTAGCGTGGCCATTAGAGCTTTTCTCTAAATCTATGATGAATATGTTTCATTTCTATCACAGTTTCACCACATTTCTCGTATCTATATGTTATATAGTGCCCATCTCCGTAGTATCACTATAACTTTCATGTATCTACAAGGAGAAGCAACAATTACAGGCTTGAAGTATGTGTAATATTTCACTACTAAAGGAAACCAACCCTGATTGTCCTTTGGAAGGATAGGTCCCGAAGCTAAAGCTCAAATACTTTGACCACCAAATGAGAAGAGAGAACTCATTGGAAAAGACCCTGATGTTGGGCAAGATTGAAGGCAAGAGGAAAAGAAGACAGCAGTGGATAAGACGACTAGATAGTATTATCAATGCAGTTGCAGTAGGCATGAGTTTGGGCAGATTGAGAGAGACAGTGGTGGGATTCAGCCGGTTCGCACTGGTTCATATGAAACAGTTGTTAAATTGCCCACCCTCCCCACTATCAAAGTGGATCCTGGGCACTACACTGCCATGGAGAAACTGGCAACAGAGCAGCCGGCACAAGGGAAGGAGAAGGCCACTGTCCCACTTTCTTCTCCCTGCTCCTCCTCCTTCCCTCATGCCGACCGCTCCATTGCCTGTTTCTCCATTGCAGCACAGCACCCAGGATCCACTTGGATAGCAGGGGGGAGATAATTTAACAACCAGTTCACCCAGGGTCAGGCTGGCCATCGCGGGAGGCTTGTCCCGCATGTACAGCAGAGAGCTGGAGGATGGGGATGAGCCACACCTCCCAGGAAAGCCAACCTGACCCTGGGCGATCTGGTTAAATTATTGGAATCCCACCACTGGAAACAGTGGAGGATGGGGGGTCTGTCAGACACGACTTAGCGACTGAATAACAACAAAGATGTGTATGTTGAAAGAAAGACAATATTTAACCCTTCTATTCTCCTTATCTAGAAGGGGGAAAAAATCCTTTTTTTATTTTAGAAGGCCATTTTATGCATTTGATTAATGGTGATAAGAACTGCTGAGTGAAATCTTAGCCTCTGAAGGAGATGTTGTTTAATGAGGCTGATAGAAGCAGCAGTCTGTAGATACTGTGCTGTAAGAGTTAAGTGTTGGTCCATGGAGCAAAGTATAGTATTGCCTAATCCAATGTTTTTCAACCTCAGCAAATTTAAGATATGTGGACTTCAACTCCCAGAATTCTCCAACCAGCCACCATAGCTGGGGAATTCTGGGAGTTGAAATCCACACATCTAAAGTTACCAAGGTTGAGAAATACTGGCCTAGTTTAATGGACAGTTGCTCACCTAGCTCTCATACAGAAGTTGTATTTAAATCAGCAGTACCGCAGTTTAAAAATGGAAATTTATATTGCTTTAAGCAATTGTTTTAACAGTACACTTTCTTTGTACAATGTCATCAGAAAGCTTTGCTGTGTCTATCTACTCAACAGGCAGAAATACACATCACACCCATCAAAAAGGATTAGCATTAATCATCTTTATATGGCCCCATTCTAGCAGTTGCAAAGGATAGAAACTAAATTGCATGAGAGGTTCACGTTTCATCCATTAGTGGCACTATTATCAATTCAGGCACGGATGTGACAGAAGTCAGAGCTTAAATTAGCACAGTGTCTCACAAGCTGCCCTCATCGGTACCATGCCAAGAAGAATACTACTCTTTGTTCTTTTGCAACAAGTTGTATCTCATAACAAGTGGTCTCTTGTCATCCATTGTTCCCTCAATGAAACCTACGTGCTACTAAACCAAAACAAACCAGCACGATGGAGAGTTCTGCCCTCCCACAGCCTTTTGGTTAGATAATAATTTCTATTTTAAAATAAACACGTAATTTCTCCGTATCATCTTCATCATCTACAGATCTCAAACATATCCATCTTTTGTTTATGATCTTTATGTCTCTGAAGTTTTGCAAAAAAAAAAAAATGTCTTTTGATACGCCTTGCAAATCTATGCTAACCAATGGCTGAGCATGGAGAATTCCACCCAGTGTTCTCTATTTACTATTTATTTGTTTATTTGTTTATCTGTTTATTTACAATTTGTTAGTCCCCGAGTCACTGTCCCCACAATTTCAAATGCTCTGTGAGTTATCAGTCAGCCTTTTTCCCATTACAAAGATACAAAGAACATTTTAGCATTTGCATACATAGATATACATAGTCCATATATTTTCCCACATGTATTTATATACATGTGTCCAATGGTTTGCAAAATATCCCTCCTGGTAGAGGTAAAGCAGAGGAAGATTGACTTTTAAAATTATTTTAAAAGTATACTGAACAATCTAAAAAAAAAAACCTCTGCCGTTGTGCCAGATCAATACAGCAGAGCAAACCTAGAAATAGCATGCCAGCAAAATTGCATTTGAGGTCTGCTTAGGTCAGATAGAATAAAATGCTAGTGAGGAGTGAAAAATAAAAAGCAGCTCCTCTAATGGAAGAACAAACAGACCTAGAAAAACGGGATGAATTGGAAACAGGAGTTTCTTTTCTTTTTTGGAAGCAAGGGAAAGAAAAGGTAAGGATGTTTCCTGGAGGTTGCAAGGAATCAAGTATCTTGGAAATACATGCAACATCATTTGCTTCTGAATATTTTATGGCAGAAGAAGTTCATGTATCTCAAGAAATAAGGAAAAAAATTGGTATCTGGAAATGCTCATCACAATCTGAGATTGCCATTTGTCATAATAAACCTCATAAAGTTCCATTCCTGGACACTTAAACCCTCTCCCTTTTAATCCACAGCTATAGTTGCAAATAAGAGTTTGTGACAAATATGTTTGGGGTCGTGTTTGTGTGTCAAAATGGCAGAAGAGGGATACAGATTCTGCATTGAAAAATGTACTGAGTAACTCAATGGCAATGTATTCTATCCACCTAATGTAAAGATTGTGTTTCTGATGTGAATACTTTAAAAAATGTGTAAAGAGCTATGGCATTGGAGAAGGTCCTGCACCACAATATTCCCTGGAGAGCAAAGGTGACTAACAAGCAAATATCGGAATGCATAACATGTCACTGGAAGGCAAAATCATGAAGCTGCATCTCTTACTTTGGCCATGTCATGAAAGGGAATTCATTGGAGAAAGCAATTATGTTTTTGAAGAATTAACGTTAAAAGGAAACCAAGCCATCAAAGAATACAGTGACTGGACATCATCAAAGCTGACACCAGCCAGAGCATAGAAAAGTAATAGCTCAAAATAGTAACAAAATCGGAAAATGTAGAGAGATCTGGCCCATAGAAGTGCCAAGAGTCTGGCATGACTTGAATGCATAAAATATTTATAAAGCATGTGGCTGGTATTAAACCTTCATGTGTTGAGGCATTTATTGACTTTCTGTGGTCTTACTTCTATTATTGCTCTTTTTAGCCGGTGTGTGCAATACGCTACAAAAGACAGAATAGTACTGCTAAAATTAGAAGAAGCAAACTTAATAGGAAGGCAAGAAAAATATTGTCTCCAAGAGCACTAAAATAAATACAATATCAAATCTAAGAGTATCAAGTCTCATTCTCCTTCTACCAATACGTTTTGGTATAAAATTACTGGATTCATGCAAAGTGAAAATGTGATTTATATGGCTTAGCATTGTTACAGATTTGAAACCAGCCCAAACTGCCAGTGGCTTGCAAACTGTAATTTATGAAAATGCAAAGTGTGAATCCAGCCACACAAGCTTAAACAGCAAAACTCAATTAAAATAAGCCATGGACTGGTGAGAGATATAAAGCCAATTAATATTAGATTAC